GACTGCTGCTTTTCCTTTTTGAATTGTTTTACACTAGTCATTTTGGGGTCCTTTATAGCTTTCTTTTCGGTGTGAGCCAACGCTCCGTGTCGAAGACCGCACTTTGACCTATAATTGTTAACTTTTTATACATTGTGACTTGGATGGAGAGTTGTCTCATTGACACTCATACCACATCTTCTAATTTATATTATCTGCATCAGCGTTAGTCTCAAGAGACAATTAATGTTAGTACAGCTGGAGTAAAAGATTTACTGTCCAAAATATTCACATTTTTGTAAAAGTAGATCTGACAAAAAGGTTAGAGAAAAGAAAGTTTCCTGCAATGACAACAACATTTTAAACAAACAAACGCAAGACGCACAACAACAAAATTAAAAAGGTTATTTGGTTAGCTAATACCATCACTTCAAAAACAAATCTAATTAGATATCTTTGAACCAAATCTATATAAGTGTGAATGTAAGCATTTGTGTATTATCTTAGAATCATCATAGATGTAGAAAAGGGTCAACCTACTTTCCTTCTCGGAGGTTTTTTAAAATAATGATTTAAGGAGTTATTGCCCTTAAATGACAGTTTGTTTTATCATTTTTATACTTTTGCCCCTAGCAAATCAACATCTACAATCTACAAGACTGCCAATACGATATAAACCAACGACACACTTCTTATACCCAACTCAATTAAATTCAGTGAACTTGATTAAATTCCAATTTTTAACAATTTTATGTTTTCAACTAATATCATCTGCCCATATAAATAGTTTGCTGTTTATACGATCTGGCTCCATCCTTATTAATCTATGCAAGCGTCTTGAAATAACTGTCCACTGTGTATGGTAAATTGAAACCCATCACATGTCTCTCATGACAGCTGGGATGGGTGTGTATTTACCTACACTAAAGAAAAATCTACAAGCCTGAATCACATTAATAAATGAAAAATTCTTGCAGTCCGGAATTGCAGAGCCTTATTTAAAATTATAGGACTTACAAGTGAATCCAATTGCCTTTTTATAGACGTCATAAGAAATGCCACCAATAGCTTTACACTTAGTTATTACCAGGCCTAAAGCTTTGGTTGTTAACTTAGCAACTGCATGCTTTTGAAGTCAAGAAATTCATCGTTCAAATTAGGCCGGTCTGACATGAACAACATTATTTTAAATGCATTGGTAGTCATTTTATTGTCAGTACACCAATGATATAACTCATCTAGTAGGTTACTCTTTGTCAGTGTTTGCTAATAACTAAATTGTACAATGTCATTAGCATGTAACAAAATACATACGTCTTATCCCCAATGTCAACACCAATATCAAAAGATTTTAAGTACATAGCTAATTTTCATTTGTGAAAATATTAAATAACAGTGAAACAAGTGGACATCCCTGTTTTAGCCTACAGTTGTCGCTAAACTAGTCTGCATGTGTTGAAGCTATTAAATCTGATCAAGCGCCTGGCCGTCTGTAGTGTGGAAACATTTTTGAAATGTCGATTTTTTTTCACCTAAGATTACACTTATGTGTATTACTGTCTGCAGTGTGGACAATTAATCATGCAATGTAATATTGTTTTACATATTTAAAAATCAACGCCACTTTGCTTATTTGAATATTATACTAAAGAAATCGGATACGGGTCACGGAAATTATATTGAAATGATAGGGAATTTTGAAAAAAAATGTCTGTTTTAATTTTAATATAATTGATAGACAGGTTGCGGGGACAGAAAATAAATATACACAACAATATACACAATTTAAACGAAACATAATGACTGTCGTTGCAAAAATCAAGGTTCCTGAGCTATTTTAAAAATCGAAGCGAGAGGCTTTTAACATTGCAGTATAAAATACAGGCTAAAATGGCTGAAACGTCAAATTTGCAAACTTCGTGTTGAAAATTGGCTAACAAGGTCATTACAAAAACAGGTTGCGGGGATGAAACTTGAATGTCCAAAGAATAAGCAAGTCCAAACCTTGTATGTGTAGTCGTTGAACTCTAGGTTCCCACGTAAAGTTAAAATGCCCCTATTTCAAGAAGAATAAACTCACGAAAACACGAAAAATTCACTAAATTCGCGTTCATTGTTTTGATTTTGACCGCCTGACAACTTTATGGAAATATCAGAGTGATTATAAACAAGGACTCTATGACGGGCAACTTATAATATCCGTGTTTTAAAGATTTTAATGATATCAAGCCAGTCCAGTTCAAACTATTATCACGTGGTACAATTCTCATTTACATATTATGAATATTAATTAGCAAACGTACTACTAATTTCTGGCTATGATTACACTACGAGTACACTAATTTATATGACTATCTGTAGTGTGGACAATTACGTTGCAGGGTCGATTTATTTCACTTATGATTACACTAATGTACTAATTACTGCTATCTTACTGCTGACACGGGAAGGGCTGTAAACATGCTGAACCTTTATATATATCTTTTATATACATTGTAAAGGGAAAACTGTAAATTAATACAATGATACACAACGTCAGCACCTAGAATATATAGCTCAAAAGACTATTCTGTATTATATGGGAAGTAAATACTAAATATCTATCTCTTAGGTCTTGATACTTGCAATAAAAGACGATACGTTCTTTGAAAAGAAAAACCCTGGCTCATAAAGTTTTTGCCTAGACACCGATGACGTTTTATAAAGTCTGAGTAGCAGCTGTAGGCTCTTGCTATATAGAATAAGTTTCGAAATGTATAGTAAAGCATGCGCGGGTGAAGTTGAAATATTGCTGCTAAGGTAAGGACATCATTTATAATTTCAAAATTGAAATCATCTTGTATGTCCTAGATTTTGGTAATGAGAGAAACTCCAGCAAATGGATAATGCCACTACGCGAGTAAACATGCAGTATCACAGTATTTCTGTAAGCCCTCGTTCAATGTTGGTTAATCTAACGGACAATTCATTGGTAGAACATGCAGATGAGCAGGAAATATACCGTTGTTTTATGGAGATTTTTGAAGTTAAGGTATCCAATACAAACAAGGTATGTCTTCAGACTTGTTGCCCAATGGAATATCCAATTAGGCCATGCAGGACTTATGAGTTGCCAATATATCATCACTATCAAAAGTTACGTTTTGTACGTGGGATTTTCCGATCGTTCATTTTTTTACTAATTTGTAGATAAGACACTCGTAGAAAAGGATTTACAGACAAAAAAAATACTGTTTGAAAATTTGTCCACAGGAACAACAACGAATTTATCGTGAAGAGAGGATAGACATTTCACAACTTCTTTCTCTCGGCATACGGACTTTGGTCGAACATTTACAGTTTTTTTTTTCCAACTGGTGGATTCGACGTTGAATCAAAGAATTGCTTTCTTCTATTCTGACAGAGTGTCTAATTCAAACTTTTCTCGTTTTTTTTTTTCATGCTCTGGGATAATCCTCAACGGAGTTGATTCCTTATAGGAGTAATTTCCATAAAACAACGGTTGTTTTAAAAACAATTTTAGAATAAAATTGAGAATGGAAATGGGGAATATGTCAAAGAGACAACAACCTGACCAAAGAGCAGAAAACAGCCGAAGGCCACCAATGGGTCTTCAATGCAGCGAGAAAATCCCGCACCCGGATTTGGTCCTCAGCTGGCCCCTAAATAAAATTGTGTGCTAGTTCAGTGAAAATGGACGTCACACTAAACTCCCAAACATATAAATGAACTAAAATTAAAAAACATACTAGACTAACAAAGGCCATTTTAAAACTATAAAAGATAGACAGAAATTGTAAATGACTGTGGTCATTAAACAAGTTGAATCACAAACCCGAAGCTGACAGATTTTATTTTTTTTATTGAAAAATAAATTTAATGACATTTTTGGGAATTTTTCGTGTTTTTGGAATATTTTTTGAAACAATATTGAGTACAGGATTTTTTACACCAAATTTGATGACATCTTCAAATTAATTTAAAATAATTTAGCGATCTTAATTGATTTTACCAGAATGCGTTCGAAAGGCTGATCGCTTGAAAACAAATAGATAAATAAGTTTTTTAATCGGAGTGAGTTTTTTTTTTATTTCAATGTGTTTTGTTTTTTTTCGAAAAATGGCTTAAAGATATTTTTGACGGGAACGGCTTGCCATACATCACCTTATTCCGTAACCAGTTTCAAATTATTTGAAAAGAATGTTTATTATACTCATCACCGGGTTTGTTCTTACATAAGCAACACATGTGGAGCAGGAACTGCTTACCCTTCCGGAGTACCGGAGATCACTCCCAGTTTTTGGTAGGGTTCTTGTCGCTCCTGAGCGTTTAGTTTTCTATGTTGTATTTTGTATTCTGTTATTTGTCTGTTTGTTCTTTTTATTTTTTAGCCATGGCGTTGTCAGTTTATTTTCGACTTATTAGTTTGAATGTCTCTTTGGTATCTTTCGCCTCTCTTCCTTGTGATAACAAATCATTGAATGGAAATAACCTATGACCAGATAGAAAGTTTTAAGACAATTATTACAAAATAGAAAAATACCTAATGTTAAACATTATTATTGTATTTTAGTTAACGATTATTTTATCAATCAACACCAAGAAGGTACATGTGTTAACCAAATGCAAATAATGATATTACTCATAGTCCTTTACATTCTGAAACTTCGACCCCCCCCCCCCCCCCCCCCACAAACCCTAATCTGCATTGGATACACTTTTTTAAATTTATTTTTGACCACACGATATTAAAGACACTAAATAACCAGATACATTCTGTTAAAGTATTTTATTTGCCAAGGTTAAAATAATCATTATTATCATCAGTCGATCATACGTTTATTAACTTATTTATTCCTTTACAACATATATTACGATAGTCTGAAGAACTAAATAAAGAAATTATTAAGATTTTGCATTTAAAAGATAAACACATGTTGTCAATTCAAGTTTAGATTTATTGAGAAAGAACAAAAACTAACATATTTTTCAATCTTACACATAAGTCTTGATTTGGATAATAAGAAAAGTAAAGAAAGATTTAAACTACTATATTTTTTATAAACTATTGACATTTAATCAACTACGATAGACAGGTCAGCATATTTACATAATGATAAGAAGGTGACACTCACGTGATTTCTTCAAATCAAAGAAATAAAGCATATGTGTTAACAATCGGACAGAAGGAACATAAGAATCATATTTGATTTATCAAAATGAGGTTCATATCTAATTAACAACGTATGCAGCATTTAGACTGGATTGAAACAATGAGAATGTAAGATGCTCTATAATATGTACGAAAACGTGTCGGAAGTGACTAATTCTTAAACGCCGATGCCAAACGAAGAGAAAATGACCAAGACAATGTTAGATGATTATGTAATCACCGATGTCAAATTAGCAAGACAATAAACACCGATGTCAAAGTAAAGAAAACCACCAAGACAACACTAGATATATGTGTCATATAAGATGTATTTACAAATGGAAAAAGCATTGGGCATCATTCAAATCGACGATATTAAAAACAACTGAGAGATTTTTACCAAAGGTAAAAGCTATTTGATCTCATCTTATCAAATTTTAGATTTATAAAAATGAAGACTTATTTCGGTCATTTTTTCCGAAAGAATAGGTTGATTAATCACAATATAAAACAACGTGTATTTGAAGAAAAATAAAGAATCGCCTGTAGGTAAATTAGAATAACAATTTTAAAATTGTGTGCGTCATGGGAGTTTTTCTGGATTTACCTTGATCAGGAACACTAACACCAAAGCATTTGAAAACTTAGGATGTATAAATACGTAGAAATGTTAAGAGCTATATTGACAAAAAGAAAAGCCAAATTCATCTAAGGTAGTTGGAACCTTTGCTTCTTAGTAATTTCTTAACTTATTATGGGGATTTTTTTTTAAATGTCATAAACCTTGCAAGTACTAAAGCACTGACTGCTGAGCTGATTATTCCCTTAGGGATTAACAGTCCACCAGTAGGGTATCAAATCAGTACTTATAAATGAAAATAACTTTTGGAATTTCGTGCGTCCGCAGCCCCTTTAGGAAGTGACAAAAAAATAAGTACCACCCAAAAGAAAAAAATATTTGTCTGTGCAGTTTTAACTGTTCCCTTCATGATTCTTCTGAGATTAAAAACAAGTAAAAATAACAAAAATACCGAACTCCAAGGAAAAGTCAAAACGGAAAGTCCTTCATGGCAAAATCAAAAGCTCAAACACATCAAACGAATGGAAATCAACTGTCATATTTCTGACTTGGTACAGGCATTTCTTTATGTAGAAAATGATGGATTAAACCTGGTTTTATAGCTAGCTATACCTCTCACTTGTATGACAGTCGCATAGAATTCAAACAGTTTGTTGCCTCTTTTTTCAAAATATCCATTACTGTGATAGTAATATTTAATTTAAACATCAGATACCGAATTCAGTGTGCTTAACTCATGCCGTATATTTGATTTTAGGAGTCATGTATCAGATAGTCCGTTCTAAAATAACTTTCATAAGTAACAGAAACAAAGTTACAGTTAACGTGCTTTTGAATTAACACGTGTTGTATTGCAGACTTTTTGAGTTGACGTAAAATACAACGAAATTTCAGTGAAAGAGGTAGGACCAATAAATTTCCCTTCCTCTTTTGGGGGATAAATCAAATGCATGATTTTGCTAGTTGCATTATCGAGTTATATTTGAACTGACTTTGGTGAGTCTTTTGTAGACGAAACGCGCGTCTGGTCTACAAACTTTAATCCTGTTTTCTATGGTGAGTTTATTTACAACCATTGTGACGATGTCACTGCTGGTGGAGGTTTCCTCCCTGAGGGTATCACCAGCCCAGTAGTCAGTATTTCTGTGTTGGCATGAATTATCATTGATAAGGTCATAATTATAGAAAAACTATTTACAAAACCTTGAATTTTTTAAATACTAAGGAATTTCTACCACAGGGATAGATTACTTTTGCTGTATTTGGCAAAACCTCTCGGAATTTTGGGTCCTCAATGCTTGAACATTATTTGGCATTTTAAAAAGGAAATTATTCGAGAGTCACTGATATACCGGTATTTTTTGTAGATCGAAAGCTCAAACGCATCAAACGAATGGAAATCAACTGTCATATTTCTGACTTGGTACAGGCATTTCTATATGTAGAAAATGGTGGATTAAACCAGATTTTATAGCTAGCTAAACCTCCCAGTCGCATAGAATTCCAAATGTTTATCAGAGTCTGTTGCCTTTTTCAAAATATCCATTACTGAGATAGAAGGATTTAATTTAAACATCAGATACCGAATTCAGTGTGCTAAACTCATGCCGTATATTTGAATTTTAGGAGTCATGTATCAGATAACTAGTCACTTCTAAAATAACTTTCATAAGTAACAGAAACAAAGTTACAGTTAACGTGCTTTTAAATTAACACGTGTTGTTTTGCAGACTTTTTGAGTTGTCGTAGAAATACAACGTAATTTCAGTGAAAGAGGTAGGACCAATTTCCCTGTAAATTTTTATTTGTTTCACTCATAGGGTCAAAATTTACACATTTTAAAAACTCCTGGAATCCAAACACTTTCAAACTGTCACATTCGAGAAAGGGACACAATCGGGAAAGAGACACACTTGGTAAAATTACAGATTAGCAGATTATTCTGCTATCGAAAGATAGAATACTGCGAAAACAAGAAAGTAAGTCAGTGGAGACTCATACACTTATATATCGGTCATCCAATTTGTAATGATGCCCGTCAAACTTATGCAGTGTCGATTTCAGTCGTTCTTCCTTGTTGTTTGGGCAGTTTTTGTGTAAGGGGTATACCACTGTTAATGAATTCCTTATGGTGTGCACATACAAGAGCGTAACATTTTAATTGGGATGTGTAAACGCCATACGATGGGCCAGAGGATATATATACTTGCTGACAAATTGGAAGTTGGTAATTGGGAGAAAAAATTATAACAACACTTTATAAATTTTATGCGTCCGACACGCTTTTCATCACGCTATCTTCAGCAGGGGCGGATCCATTATTTTGGAAAGGGGGGGGGCGAAGTATGAAAATTTCGCCGAGCGGAGCGAGGCAAAAAATTTTTTTTGACCTTTGGCTAAAAAACATGAGTCTTTTGTAGACGAAACGCGCGTCTGGTCTACAAACTTTAATCCTGGGTTCTGTGGTGAGTTTATTTACAACCACTGTGACGATGCCACTGCTGGTGGAGGTTTCCTCCCTGAGGGTATCACTAGCCCAGTAGTCAGTATTTCTGTGTTGACATGAATTATCATTGATAAGGTCATAATTATAGAATAACTATTTACAAAACTTTGAATTTCTCTAAATACTAAGGATTTTCTACCACTAGGATAGATTACCTTTGCTGTGTTTGGCAAAACCTCTCGGAATTTTGGGTCCTCAATGCTTGAACATTATTTGGCATTTTAAAAAGAAATTATTTTTCGAGTCACTGATGTGTCTTTTGTAGACGATTTTAATCCTGGTATCTATGATGAGTTTATTTGAATTGTCAAGGCATCTATATTTACGAGCTATACTTCCAAAATGTCAGTATCGTTAAAGTTATCGATGAGGTCAATAATATTCAATGTTTTAACTATCTATCTATATATTTAATGCATTCACTTGCAGGCAGAAAACCGACGTCATTTTTAGTGTAACATTTCAACAACAATGAATAAGGAAGAAAGGATCATTTGATGTCAAGTTTCCATATCAACAATCAACAATAAATAAGGAAGAAGGTTCATTAAATGAAATGATTAGGGTCAAGTTTCTATAGCAACAACTATGAAGGAAATTTAGGTCTAGTTTCTATTGCAACAATAAAAAGGAGATCAAGTTTCTTAGCAAACAATTTTATTAGATGAAAGAAACCGAAACAATACAGCGGAAAATGTTTCGTAGAATAAACAAAAACATGATAATTATAATACTGCTTCAGCTTGTGCTTATATATATGGTACTGTATTACAATGTTTCAAATACTGAACAAACGTACCAACGACAAAGTATAAATGAAGACGATAAAAAGTCCGCGAGAAGTCTTACAAAATATATATTTAATTGTACAAATATAAACAACATCAGATTGTTCAAGTATGATATTGGTGGAGGGATGTCGAAAAGCATCGATATTGGTACATTTGAAGGAGAAACGGTTGTGGTGAAAAGACTTTCACCACGTAAAAACCCTAAAGAAAGGGATGCACAGTTCAGAGAAGTGCTGTTCATGAAAGACATACTAATGCGAGACCAGCTAGACCATTCATCAATTATAAAAATGTTAGGCTTTTGTGTGAATCATTTAAAGCACGATCTTAATATCTACCAAGGTTATCTACCTTTTGGGGACATTTCTGCTGTGTATGAATTTGGCCAAGAGTTCAAAATTGCCAAAGTCAAATTTAAAATAGAGGAAAGACTGAATCATGCGGTAGACTTAGCTGATCTGATATTTTATTTGCATCATTCTCCGCTTGGGTCTTTAAAACTTGTTGATTTTTTGCCATATGACCATTTCCTAATGGTCAAGGGTAAGATCAAGTTGATTGATCTAGATTACATAAGTAATGTGGAGCCGTCGTGTGAGTTCTCGACTGGATGTGCTTATTATAATATCACATGTCAACCATTAAATAATTACGAAATTCAATATACCAATTGTAAATCTATAAGTAATTGCACAATTGGTGTGTGCAGAGGAACAAATCTAAAACATAATTTGGCTAGATTCACTGAATCATTCTTCGTACATCTCTTAAAACCGGAATTATATCCTTTACACATGCAAAACAAACTACTACAATTACTGCAACGTCTTGACAAACATAATATACACATTGATGATATGTTAGATGAGTTGAGAGATATCAAGCAAGCATACCCGACATTAAAAGAGCATTTGAAAACGTCATTTTAGATGTACAACTTACTATATATAGTGTGGACAGTCAAGCATAAAATTATACAAGTTTTTGATCACCTCTATAGAGACCAACTATTAGATACATGATTGTATGTAGTGTGGCGAATCGTTTGTAGTGTCGATTTATTTCACTATGATCTCAAAATTTTCACTGACTCTGTATTGTGGACGTTATTTGTACAATGTGGTGTCGATTTATTTCATGATTGATGGTAACACTAATGGGCATGATTGTCTGTTATGTAGACAATTATTTGTGCAATGAAGTGTCGATCTATTTCTCCAATGATTATACTAATCAATATGATTGTCGGAAGTGTTGAAAATTATTTGTATTATGGATTTATTACACCTTTGATGACACTAATGAAATAAAAGACTGTAGTGTTGAAAATTATTTGAAGTGTCAATTTATTTCACCTATGGTTACACTAATGTTCATGACTGTCTGTAGCGTAGACAATTATTTGTAGTGTCGACTATTTCCCCGACGAATACAATAATGCGTATGCCTATCTTAAGTGCGAACAAATTTTTGTTCAAAGTAGTTTCGGTTCGTATGGCTGTCTATTTTTAGCATTACTTTACCTTTGATTACACTACAGTGTTTGAACTTCTATAGTGTGGACACTTAATTATTTTGTAATGTCCAATTGTTTAATTACTTGATGTCTTTTGGTTTTTGTGGACAACTATTTATACAAGATAGTATCAATTTGTTTCACCTAAGATTGCACTAATGTGTAAGACTGTCTGTAGTTTGGTCAATTATCTAAAGTGTCAATTTATTTTATATATGATCACACATATTTTTATGACTGGATGTAGTTTGAACAACTATGGATAGTGTCGATTTACTTCACCTATGATTACACTAAAAATGACTAATGTGTAAGACTGTAGATTCGACAATTATTTGCAGTGTTGATTCATTACACCTATGATAATACTATTATGTATGACTGTCTGGAGTGTGGAGAATAATTTGCAGTGTTCATTTACTTCAACTACGATATCATTAATATGACTCACAATTATTTGTAGCGTCGATTTACTTCATCTATGATTACACTAATTTTGTATGATTATCTTAAGTGTGGATAATTATTTGATGTGTCAATTTACTTCAACTATAATAGCACTAATATGCATGACTGACTGTAGTATGGAATTGTTTTGTAGTGTCGATTTACGTGTAAGATTGTAGTGGGACAATTATTTGTAGCGTCGATTTATTACACCTATCATGATATGTATGACCGTCTGTAGTTTTTGACAATCGTTTGTTGTGTCGATTGTTTCACTTATGAATACATAAATGTGTATGACTACCTGTATTGTAGATAACTATTAGTGGTGTCATATTATTTTCTCTATGGTAATCACTGAGGTAACAAATATTGCTCGAGGGACAACACACTTATTATTATCCTCATAACAACATGGCACCATATAGTGTGTGCATTTTACAACTTGTAACGTTGTACCAAATTACATCTATGGTTGTACTATTATCAAGATCATGAAACGGACTTTAAACTCAAAAGTTACTCTGACAAGGTCATAAATTGCTTTAAAAAATATTTGCATTCGATATCAACAACTTATATGCAAATATGATATTTTTTATCAGATGGTATTTCTCACCCTTCCTTATATATAATACAGCGTGTACAGAATAAAGGGAATGTGAAACCCACTATAACACAATTTGACATAAGCTGTTACAATATATACGACTTTATACTTACTTAATCGATTTAATTCAAAACAACCTCCATTAGGTTAATTTTGAAGATAACATTATTTCAAGGGTATATTTTACAGTGGTTATTTAAGTACATCATTTATGAACTTAACAAAATGACATTGGGTGTTCTTTTTGATATAGCAGATGTCGCTATATGTTTTCGATAGAAATGTTTGCTTTTTTGTTTGATAAGATATTTACTTTAAAAATAATCATACTTAAGAAGCAGCTGTCACAAGGATGATTGAAGGTATTTAGCAGAACAGAAAGTACGCCTATTCTGCAGCATTGCTATAGTTTTAATAAAAAAAAAAAGAAGTCGATATCTGACGTTTTTGGCTGTCGTGGATAAAAACAAAACACGCCTTTTATGCATTTTATGCAGCATGAAGTTGCTATAATTATAGTAAAAAAGAAGTCGATATCTGAATACACAGATATATAAATTCATTGTTTGCCAATTTAGAATTTTGGTAATGGCACGACTTAAAAAATATATATTTTATCAAGGACTTTAATAGTACAACTAAACACTTGTTATGAGTTACAATTTATGACTAAAATCAGCAAAGACCCATCGAAACAACATCTGATTCGAAAATTTAATAACACTTTTAGATATTTAAATGATATATTGGCTCTCAATTATGACGACTTCAGTATGTACACTAAAGAGATTTATCCTGCCGAACTGACTTTAAATAAAGCTAATACTAACAATGAACACTGCCCTTTCCTGGATCTTGATATCTATATTTTTAACGGGAAGCTTAATACGAAAATTTATGATAAAAAAGATGATTTTTCATTTCCTATTGTTAATTATCCAAGAAACAAAATATGAAGATATGATAGTACAATAAATGCATCCAGATTATAAAGCAAACTGAGTGCTTAAATTTATATTGCGATTGGTTTGTGCAATGTGCATTAGACATCCGAATTGTAGAATCTTGGATTTGCAAAAGGGTTATGAAAAAATGATGTACACTCCTAAGTTATAAATAAAATAGTCGAGCCTTAAAATGTATATTCAAATAGTAGCTGTATATATACACTCTTCTATTCACAACTATCCAACATTGCTTTCAACTGACGTATGCAAGAATCTACACACGATTACATATGTTTAATAAAGGTGTTTTAACATCATCATTATCTTTTTCTATTCAAAGTCAATTATTTAAATTCAAAAGCAAACAAAAATTAAGCAACACATTTTTGGTGACCAGTCAGCGGTCTTAGGTTCACGTGTTGCTTTTCTTTTTTTAAATAAACACTATACTGAAAAAATATGTATGTAAACATTTTATACACGCAAATGTATCGTACACTACAGGTGTATATATTATATGTTAAGTCATCAATATAAAATATGATTCCCTCCCGAAGATATCTTTTATGCCCTGTACACTATCTGTATTAAAATAAAGTATTCGCAGTGTGTCTTTTTGAAATCGCAATTTTTATCTTTTCATTGTGTATTTTTTCATTATTTTTTTTTAATCTCAGCGTGTCTTTTTGAAATCTCAATGTGCAATTTTAGTCAATTCTCAGTTTGTGTTTTTAAGATTTTAATCTCATAATCTCCGTGTATAAATTTCTCACAAAAAACGAGAACGGCTTACCACAGAAAAGGTGCTGAACTGCGTTTTCAGTGTTTGCAAACGGAAGATTTTTTTCTAGTAGATTTCCCACTGAGGCTTGTTTAGGGGGGTATCAATATCCCATATCCCATTAAGTTTTTATCCCAATATCCCATATCCCTATAATGTTTACCCCTAATATCCCAATAAATATTTTATACAAATATCCCATATCCCTAAAACTATTTTGAAATATCCCAAAAAATCATTATAAATTTATTCCCAAACCCATTTTTTTCTCATCATCACTTCTGATGAGGATTTTGGCTCAACTTCAACAATTTTGACTGAAAAATGATCAAATTATATTATCTATTTTCAAAATACTAACATTTGATTAAAATTATATTCCTTGTTGAACTAGAATATAAAGAGAAAAAAAAACTGTGGTAAAGGAAATTTACAGTGCATACTTCCATTGTTAAATAAGAAAATGTGTCCAAAAGATGAAGTGTTCCATCTTAGAGCGTTGTACAACAATCACTTTTCATGTGATCATAAACGATCAATTTGGTGTAAGGGGTCTAATTTCAGACATTTTTTTTTAATTGTTCAAACCATGATGTATATGTCTGTAAAATTTCATTTTGATAGCATTCTTCTTTCATTGATAAGAAACTTCATCCTGCACGTTAACCTATGTTGGAAAGAACAGAAGGACGCAACCCTGTTTCTAGACCGAGATTGCTCTGACATCCAACGGCTGTTTTGCCAGACATGATGTATATGTCTGTAAAATTTCATTTTGATAGCATTCTTCTTTCATTGATAAGAAACTTCATCCTGCACGTTAACCTATGTTGGAAAGAACAGAAGGACGCAACCCTGTTTCTAGACCGAGATTGCTCTGACATCCAACGGCTGTTTTGCCAGACAAGCCGAGGCTGTGGGACGTCAGAGCACGCCCATATCAAAAAGTGGATATTCAGCATGCAAGTTCAAAAACTCAAATTTTAACACAAGAAAGCTTTCTGCTAATGCACGTACATTAAACTTAACTATTGCAATATTTTTACAGCAAGCAAAATTTGCACAGCACTTGTTTTGCAAAGAAACACAAAATTTGACTATGTGATCTTGAACTTTATGAAATTCATAGATCACAATATTTTTGTTACTTTTACTAATTTCCTTCCTCAAAACACCAGTAATAGAAGAAAAGATTACACTGATTATTTAGTCCTAATTCTAATTCTAGTTTAACCTTTTAAAAAGCTATTTAAGAGGTAGTTTCAAATTCAAACAGGGCATCCATTTTGTACGGCTTAATATCCACTGTTTTATATGGGACGTTTCTGACGTCCCACGGCCGAAGCTTGTCTGGCAAAACAGCCGTTGCACATCAGAGCAATCTCGGACTACCCTTGGTCCATAATCTATTACAATCATTGAAACGTATAGAGACCGCTGAAGATCATCGGCACGTAAAAAATAAGAGGTGAAACACCAGAAAATATCCCGTAATCATATAAAGCATCAAAATAAACAAAAATATAGACAACACTATATAATCTATGATTATTTCAAGAAAATTATCAATGCATATGAGCATATAATATAAAAAAGATGTAGTATGATTGCCAATGAGACAACTCTTCACAAGATACCAAATGACACAGATATTAACAACTATGGGTCACCGTACTACTTTCAACAATGAGCAAAGCTTATACCGCATAGTCAGCAATAAAAGGTCCCGTAATGACAAATGTAGAACAATTCAAACAGGAAAACTAACGGCCTAATGTATGTATAAAAAAAATGAACAAAAAACAAATATGTAACACAGCAACAAACTACAACCACTGAATTACAGGCTCCTGACTTGGGACAGGCACATACATACAGAATGTGGCGGGGTTAAACATGTTAGCTGGATCCCAACCCTCCCCTTAACCTGGGACAGTGGTGTAACAATACAACATAGGAACGAACTATACAAATCAGTTGAAAAAGGCTTAACTCATCAGATGGATACAAATAGAAAAACATCTAACAAAAACACAGAGTGGACGTGACCGAGTACTTGTGCATCCCATCAACAAAAAGACACTAAGTACAGATCTGAGAGTACTCGCAGTTACTGACAGCTAGTTCAAAGCCAATAACAACTAATAAAAAAAATCATGCATCTAAGACTAAATTATCAATCATTACACATCCAACATCTAATGGCACGGTAAACAACATCTCCGTAAAAATGAGGATGTGCTATCCCGTTTGAAATAAGTTTTCTACAGGTACAACCAAACTTCAAAACCAAATCTTTATATCTACGGAAGAATTTAGTAAAGATGTTAAGTGATTTGTGGTAACGAAATCTCTGATTTAATAATTTACCAGTGATACATAGATTACGTTCATTAAAATCCAAAAAACGTTACAATAGACACGGGCATAGCGAAAGAGTTGTGACATACAAACACCGTAAGATAGTGCAAAAGGAACATCACCATCCAAAAAAGGAAAATTAACAATAAGGAACGAAGTATGGAAAGCAAAACAAATACTTTTAAAATTATCAGTACATATGAGCATATAAATATTGAAAATAGATTAATACTTTTTGCTTGGGTGGGTTTGGATGACTTTTAAATAAAACGACCATAATTTCATAAACTCAATGAAAATCACAAAGCACTAAAATGACCTTATTTATTAATTTTTTTGGGCAATTTTATCAAGTGAGAAGTAAATATTTCTGTACTTAACTTTTAAATTCCACTAATTTATTTTCATGTTCAAAATTCAATATCCTTAAAAATGCATCAATATCCCATATCCCATTTACTTTTAGGACAAATATCCCATATCCCTAAAATTAAAATGGCAAATATCCCGTATCCCAATATACCCTATACAAGCCTCCCCACTGGGTTCCGGTGTGCGTCCTTCGATTCAAAATTTTAGGGGGTGAAAAACATAAATTTGTCTAATTTTACAATATGCAAGATGTACACAGCAACTTACATTTTACAGACAAAAAAAATAATTGAATAACAATTTTGCAATAATGTAATGTACTCAACGTATCCGCTTAGTCGTCAGGAGAGTGAAGACATTATCCATTTATTAATAAAGTGTATAATGCACTTCTGAAATGCAGACGTCAATTTATGCTTGAACTGTCACATTTATTTTGTGCTGTCTGTTGTAGAACATTTTAAATTCTAATAATGCAATAAATTTGTAATCGCTATTTTGATTGTTCAACATCATATATTTTGATTGGGTAGATTCCATGGCCTACCAGTCTGTAACTAAAGAATGAGTCATTTTGAATTCCGGTACGGTCATAGATTTCGACTAACGAATCATTTTTTTTTTTTGTACAAAAGCTAAAGTTTTTACTTTTTATTGAACTTTAAAATTTAAACCACAGTTAAAATTGTGTCACAATCTACTGAAGGATAATACAGACAAGAAAAAGAAGAATAGTCACGAGGTCTATACCGTTGACGTTAATACTGGCTGTTATTGAGTTAGGACTAATCAGAGACATATATACACATATATGTCTCTGGACTAATGTTAATACTTATATTAATGTATAAATATTCCCAAGATTAAGCGACTTAAAAAAATGAAATGGAGCTTTCATCTTTGTCGACAAAATGTTTAAGTCATTCTAATACGAGTAATTGCAATATCATCATAATATGGTTTATATATACTATACGCTTATAAATTTCGACTAGCAAATCAAGGAGTAGACTCTGATTACAGACATAATAGGTAAAAATGTAAATAAAATATACCATTGATTAGAAATGACAACGGATAAAGTTGGTTTTATCATACTAAAAGCTTTTTAAAAAACATCAGAAACCAAGTGCACGTGCAATAGGCCTACTGAAATATTTTTTTATAGGACATCAATCATAATAACCACAACAAAAAAACATACTATTTTTCAATGTCAATCAAATCATAGAACAAGTCCATGTGAATTTAAAGGTATCCTGCAAAATAAACATATCTATTATGGCATGGGTGGGTGTGACAGTTGAATGGAAGTCAATGCTTTTGTAAAATATTTGGGAATAATAATTGATCAGTTTCTAACTGGTGATTTTATTGTCAACTCTATAGTGAAAAAAGTCAATCAAAGGCTTAAATTTTTATATAGAAACAAAGAGTGTCTAAATTTTCAATCTAGGAAAACATTGTGCTCTTCCCTGATTCAATGTCATTTTGACTATGCATGTGCATGCTGGTATGAAGGTATATCAAAACAAATGAGGAATAAACTTCAAGTGGCACAAAATAAGATTGTGAGATTTATTCTGCAATTACATCCCAGAAAGAGTGTGACATATATTGAATTCAAGAAATTGGGCTTTTTAAATATTAGTAATAGAGTCAAACAACTAAGACTCAATCATGTTTTTAACATTTTTAACAATATATGCCCACATTATTTACATACTAATCTTGTTAAAAATGAAACATCTTTCAATACAAGATCTAGTAGTAAAAACTTTTATATACCAGGAATTAAAGGGTGTGAATCAACCACTTTCTTTTATAATGGAATAAAAGACTGGAATTCGTTACCAGACATGATTAAAAGTTGCTCTAAAAATATAATTTTAAAGTGCAGGTGAAAAAAATTTTGATGGATAAATTTAAATCCATCTTTAATAGTGAATTTGTTTTTTATTAATTATACTGGGGCTTTGACCATTTATCTGTGAGAAATTCTAAATGATTTGTGCTTGTATTTTCTATGTGTCAACCCTTGGTGTA